TATGAAAGTCAAGATCAGACCACAAGTTTCTGAGAGCGACTTGCTCTGATTCTGAGCTGATCAGGTGACCATAAACGTCACTTGGAACCTCATTGCGACTCCAGAAACAAGCAGTCTTGAAGGCAGGGACGACTTGGTCGTGAACTGCCAAAACATTGCTTCGCACGAATCGCACCTAAACGAGACTTTCGAAACCAGAAGGCGCTGGTGGGGATATAAGAGTATCCCCGGAGGAGCGATGATTGCGATTTGGTCAAGTATTGCATATTGGCTGAAGGAGCTCTCGCTGATTTTTTCCAACGGGGGTTCAACCGTTCAACGTCACCTGGTCCAGGCCCTAACGTACGATGCATATCGATTGAGTCGGCAGCACGCCGAAGCACGTTGGGTGCAGGTGTATGACCTCTGTGAAATACCATGTTGTTTTACCACATTGTTGAAGGAGCTGTATCTGTCAGAAGAACAATCACTGGGGGCAAAGGCCGGGGCACCTGGATTTCAGGTGCCTCCGACGCATGTACATCAAAGGCCGTGATGGGTGTTTTGGCACAAAGGAAACAAAGGTGAGAATTCCTTTATTTCCTTTGTGCAAACTGGGTCCATTGCACCTGCCAACCACATGCCTCAGAGGCACCTGGTGTCTAGGTGCCCTGGATTTTGCCCCCAGTGAATAATATTAGATTCGTTTATTCAAGCGTCAACCGTGGAAGCACAGGCGCTCCAGTACACTTTGGGTGATGTACTCCCGAAGCTTCGCTGTTCGACGGATCCAATGAAACAATGATTATGTGCTGGGGCCTCGACATTAGCGCCGTGATGATAAGGCCATCCACAGTGCTCGAGAAGTTGATTCCCCCGGCGTGAATCTCCCGTAACCTTGCTTTCTGATCTCGAGTCCTATGCAGCGGCGAGCTGGTTGTTTGACAGTTGAAGTTATAACTGTATAAAATAATGCATGTAGAAACGACGAACAGTTGATGGCTCTTGTTGTACATAACTTACTTTAGTCCAACCACACGGCATGGCTCCCGCCCGCCATCTGCTCCGGTTCGCCTTCTGCTGCGGTCTGAGAAGCATAAGATCCAAGCTGCGGCCACGCAGCAACCTGCCTTAAACGCGCCCCTCCCCCACGCCAAAGCCAGCCATCCCACTCGAGCACCCGGACGCCCGGGTGCGGCGGCGAGTCGTCCGTAAGCAGCACCCACATCGCCCCATCAGCATCATCGTCTTTCACTCGAACATCGAGCGCATGCGCCTTCCCGCCGGTTGTCTCCGCCTCGAAGCGCTCGACGAGCCACGGATTCTCCGGGTCCTCGCCCTGCGCGAACAGCCCCTCGCCGTCGAGGCGCCATACGCCGACCCATCCGCGCGTCTCTGAGCCCTCGCCTCCGCGCGTCGTCGCGAAGACGCTCAGGGGACCGGGGTGGCCGCGCAGAGTGGGCGCCAATAGTAGCGTGTCGCCCCGGAAGGACCCATGCCCATCCGCACGCAGCCGCGGGGGGATCAGCGACCGCGAGGTGAGGTATGTGAGTATTGGAGTAGTTGTGCCTTCTGAGGCGGGCGGGGCGATCGTGTACAGATCGAGGTAGTTCGCTGAGCAGACGATTAGACAACTGTTTCCGAGGAATATAATAAAATAGACGCACAATGTTCGGTAACGCAGTAGAGGACGCGCCCATTCGGATGCACCTTGACGTGTCGAGGCCCATCCTCTTCCTCCCCAGTCGCACCCTCCCGCTGCTGGGCGGCGCTCGACTCCAGGTGCTTCAACGACCCGTCTTCAGCACGTTCATAAACCTCAATCGTAGACCCGCCGAGCACGGGTATAAACGCCAGCGCAGGCGAGCCCAATGGGAACGCAAATTCGATGCCGTGAGAGCCGTAACGCTGTATGTAGAAGTTCGATTTTCAATGTTGGCACTGCAACGATAGGAAGAACAAGCGCACCAAAGCCTTCCGCGTCTTATCTGCCACCGCCCACTCCGACTCGGGAACAAATTTAACCTCCTGCACATGAGCCCCAAACCCGGGGACGCCCCCAGGAGGCCGCGCATGCACCTGCGCCGCCGGCCCCCCAGCAGAATACACATGCGAGAACGGCGGGGGCACAGTAACATACGACGACGTCGCCGCTATTCACCATCCATCCATTTCTCCATCATTTATTCAAGGGATGGGAGTGTAAAACGCACCAATATCCACACTATCCACAAACCTTACCCTCATCCCCCGGCCCTCTCCCTCCCCCAGCTCCTCAACCGCCCAACTCTGGAGCCGGGGCGGAAGCGCCCAGCTAGTCGTGTATGCAGCGCGGACATCCTCGCCCCGCGGCCCCAGCCCAATGTACTGGTGGGGCCCAAACGCAGGGACGGTCTGCACGAGATCAAGCGTCCGCTGGTGCGGCGAAAAGGCGAGCAGGAAGAGAGATATCGAGCGGAAGGAGCCGCTGAGAATGTGGTGCGGCGCGACGGCGCTGGCGTTCAGAACTTGTTGCAGTGGTATCTGGAGAGGCGGCTCCAGATCCATGTCGTTCAGATTATTTCCGAGACGGGAAGAAAGCGTTGTGTTGTTTGTGATTGCTTATGATTGCTTACAATAGTGGCGGTGCGAAGTAGTATTTCAAAGTCCTGTTACAGCCGTTTTCAAAACTTTGGACGGGTTTTGATGGTCCGTTCCTCCTTCGTTTTTGCTTACCTCTGTTTGACGGTGAGTCGCTTCTACTGTATCGTCCTAAATCTCCCTAAATCATCCGCGCGCACATCCAAACCAGTCTGCATTCGGGCACCAGACAATATTATTTTAAACAGCCCCCGGCGCCTCGACAGGTAATCTAACACCCAGGTTATCCGGCACGGCCAGCGTATCGTCCACCTCACTCGCCAGACGTCCCCCAAACGCGACGTTCCCGTTTTGCGCCCGGAATGCGTCGATGCGCGCCTCAACCTAGATATGGAGATTAGCACGTGGGAGTGGAGGGGACGGAGTGTGTGATGAAGGAAAACATGTACGCTGGAAAAAAAGTGAAAAAAGTGTATGCACATACCACAGGTCTAAAGTGGCGCATAAGGCCTTGGATGGGCCAAGCTGCAGCGTCCCCGAGAGCACAGATTGTGCGCCCCTCGACTTGTTTACTGGAAGCGGAATCTGGTAAGTCCAAAAAAGGGAAAGACAAAGGCGAGAACGCACGTCAGCTCCAAAAGCATGTCGATCTCGCGACGGTGGCCGCGCCCCTCCACCATACGGTTCATCATGTTCATCATCCAGGTCGTTCCCTCGCGGCACGGCGTGCACTGTCCGCAGGACTCGTGTTTGTAGAACTAGTGCAGCGTGAGCTACGTTGCCAAAAAGTAAAGTAAAGAAACGATACTCACATCCGAGAAACGTGCAATGGCAGCGATGATGTCGGTGGACTTGTCCATGACAATAACGGCACCCGTTCCTAGACCTGATTGGGCATCCTTGAGCGAGTCATAGTCCATCCTAAATGTGAATATTGTGTGAGCAGTGGCGCGTGCGTTCGACGGGCCTACTCACAGCACCTCCTCGCACTTCTTGATCGGGAGCACAGGCACGGAGCAGCCACCGGGAATAATGCCCAGCAGGTTATCCCACCCGCCACGAATACCACCACAGTGCTTCTCGATGAGCTCGCGCAGCGGGATGCTCATCTCCTCCTCAACAACACACGGGTTGTTTACGTGGCCGCTGATGCAGAAGAGCTTCGTGCCCTGGTTGCGCTCGCGGCCGAATCCAGCAAACCACGACGCGCCGCGGCGGCAGATGGTTGGTGCGACGGCGACGGTCTCGACGTTGGCGACGGTGGTGGGGCAGCCGAAGAGGCCGACATCGGCAGGGAACGGAGGCTTGAGACGCGGTTTGCCCTGCTTTCCCTCGATACTCTCGATGAGGGCCGTCTCCTCACCGCAGATGTACGCGCCGGCGCCGCGGTGGACGTACACGTCGAAGCCGTAGCCGCTGCCGCATGCGTTGGGGCCGAGTAAACCGTCCTTGTACGCCTCGGCAATGGCTTGGTTGAGGTTGGACGCCTCCTGGACGAACTCGCCGCGAATGTAAATGTAGGCGGCGGTCGCGTTCATACCGCGACCGGCGACGAGACAGCCCTCAACGAGCTTGTGGGGGTCACCACGGAGGATCTCGCGGTCCTTGCACGTCCCGGGCTCACCCTCGTCGGCGTTGACAACAAGATACCGTGGCCGCTTGTCTGCCTGCCAGTTGGGCTTGTTCATGAAGCTCCATTTGAGGCCACTGGGGAACCCAGCGCCACCTCTCCCGCGCAGACCCGAGTCCTTTATCTGCTGGATGATCCACGAGTCGCCCTTGAGCAGAATGTCTTTTGTACGATGCCAGTCGCCGCGGGACTTAGTTTGGGGTTAAAAGGGTGTTTTATCGAGTCGAATGGTCTGAATACCTTTGCACCCTTGAGCCCAAAGTCATGACGGCAATACGCGTTGGTAAATATACGGTCCTGGTCCTTGAGACCACCGTAGCGGCGTACGGGAGGGTCAGCGACGGTGGCGAAGGTGCGCAGCCGGACTCCGGCGGTGCGGAGCGCTGCGTTGGACGACGAGCTCGCCGGCTTGAGCATCGAGAGAGGATAAATCACAGGGTTTGTTTATACGTTGTTGATTTCAGAGCCCGTTAGCCTTTGGGACGCCCCTATCTGGTATCATCTGTAAGTTAATACGCCTTACTAGTAAGTTACAGTTACTACTCTAACTCCCGAATCATCGACCCCGCGCTGCTCTTTCCGCCGCGGCCGTCCACTGAATTTGCTTCAAGTGCAAGCTCTCCGCCGTGAGCACAGACGACGTCGACGTTTTCGTCGGCGGACGGCAACAGTGTACCTTCCTTTTTTGCGTTAAACATGAGTATCTTGGACGGTCTTCAGCGAGGCGCTTCCCGAAAGGTGAAAAAAAACTTGCACCAAAATTTGTTACGCTCATGTGAACAAGTTGACTATGCGACGGAAAACAGAAAAACTCTCGACCTGGGAGTCGAACCCAGCTTTCGCGCGGTCCAAATTACGAAATTCAATGACAGGCGCGTGTACTAAACCGATATACTAGTCGAGACATGCTCACTATCCAAATTTGGAACTCATATACGATCCTGATCAATAGTCTTTCCTGTTATTCGGTTAGCTGTACTTAAGTACTTACCTCTCACGCTCACACCCGATACCTATCACCTGGTCCTGCACCGGGGGGTAAACGGAACCGTCATTCAACGTCGCCAGTCGGGTATAAATGAGACCGCTTGAAACCATCGCTGTGCATCCCACGACTGCTGACGTTCTATCTATGCGCGTACGATCAAAGCTCGGGAAAATTCGGAATTCCAGAACATAATAATGCTGGACAACGACTGGGCACGTGTCCGATTCAGATTTGGACGGAGCAGGACGGAGCAGTGAAGGAATCGTTGCGTCAACGGCCGCTGCATTTCGTCATTGAATGGATCCGATCGATTTGTCCACAGATATGAGTAGGTGGATCCAAGGAGATATTCTATACCATATTCACGACCGAATTCGACAGTGAACGTACTATTGAACTTGAACCAAGTTGAACCCCGACCAACGTTAAAGTGGTCATCTGTTTGCTGCATCGATCTGAAGCGATCATCGGCCAGAATGAGCTAGAATGGTGCAAGAAGACAGCTGCTGGAAGCAACTCAATTAATAGGTGCGTCATTTGACCATAACCGCGGCCTGGAATAGGCGTCGTCCAATCAGGAGTCCCGTTTTTGTATGTGACCTGCCTGAACGTGATCTGGGGTAGGGGTATAATAAGAATGGCAGCCATTATTCAGCTCTCCACTTCTTCGTTTCTACCACCACTATGCCTTCCAAGAACATCATGAACATCGGCCCCGAGTCGCAGCACTACACAACGTCTAATGGTGTTGCAGTCTCCGAGCCGTACGCTGCGCAGCGTGTCGGCTTGTTCGGACCTCTGTTGCTCCAGGGTGTGTTCAATCGGTTCCAATTACTGCATATGCTCATCCCCTGCGTAGACTTCCACCACCTCGATATTTTGAGCCACTTCGATCGCAGAGAGGGATTCGCTTAATCTATCGCTGAATGAGACTTACTCGTTTTATTACAGGGGAGAGAATTCCGGAGCGTGTGGTAAAATCAATTCACCTTAGCTCCGATCGCTTCTCACAGCATCCACCAGGTCCATGCGAAGGGCGCAGGCGCTCACGGCACCCTCGAGATCACTGAGGACCTCAGCGACCTAACCTCCAACCCCTTCCTCAGTAGCAAGGGCAAAAAAGCAAAGGTTACTGTTCGTTTTTCCACAGTTGGCGGCGAATCTGGATCTGCCGACACCGCTCGCGATCCCCGTGGCTTCGCAATCAAGGTCAGGACGGAGGAAGGGAACTGGGACTGGGTGTTCAACAACACACCTGTTTTCTTTATTCGTGACCCGGCCAAGTTCCCCCACTTCATCCACACCCAGAAGCGCGATCCCCAGACCCACCTCAAAGATGCCGACATGTTCTGGGTATGCCCGCCATCCACCGCCCCAGATTAGTATCTTAACGCCCCATCGTATCCAGGATTACCTGAGTCAGAACCCCGAATCCATCCACCAGATCATGATTCTGTTCAGCGACCGCGGCACGCCCGATGGCTTCCACCGTCAGCACGGCTATTCCGGACACACCTTCAAGTGGTTCAAGAAGGATGGTTCGTTCGTCTACACCCAGGTTCACCTACGCGTAGAGGGTGGCTTCAAGACCCTCAACAACGCGGAGGCCGGCAAGCTTGCCGGTGAGAACCCAGACTACGGCACTGAGAGCCTCTTTGAGGCCATCGAGTCCGGCCACCCGCCTGCATGGAACGTCTTCGTGCAGACCATGACGCCCGAGCAAGCCGAAAAGTTCCGATACAACGTCCTCGATCTCACCAAGGTGTGGCCCCATGGCGAATTCCCGCTCCGCCCGGTCGGCAGAATGGTCCTCGATGAGAACCCGCAGAACTACTTCGCCGAGATAGAGCAGGCCGCCTTCTCGCCGTCGCACTTGGTACCTTACATCGAGCCGAGCGCGGACCCCGTCCTGCAATCGCGTCTGTTCTCATACCCCGACACTCACCGCCACCGTCTCGGCACCAACTACCAGCAGCTGCCTGTAAACGCGCCCACCGTCCCTGTCGCCAACTTCCAGCGCGACGGCGCCATGACCTTCGTCTCTCAGGGGGCGCGCCCCAACTACCAGAGCAGCATCGTCCCACTCCAATACCACGGCGCGCCCGGCACACTCGAGGGTGGCGCGCGCGACTTGGAGCGCGAGGCCAAACACGAGAACTTCATCGGTGCTGCATTTAGAGACCTTAGCGAGATCACCGAGCGTATGCATTTTTCTCCCAGCTTGGTTTACCTATCTCTAATGTGGACCCATAGTCGACTTTGAGCAGCCCCGCGCCCTGTGGAGCAAAGTATGGAACGACGCCGCGCGGGAGGCGTATGTGCAGAACGTAGCCGGCCATTTCAAGAACGTTAAGAGCGCCGAGGTCCGCGCCCGTCAGCGTATGTTATCCCATTTCATCTGCGTTGATTTCCTTTCTGATGTTTTCTAGTTTCCGTCTGGGCGGCCGTTGACCAAGGACTGTCGGACCGCATCGCCAAGGCCGTCGGCGCGCCAACTGTGCAGCCACTCAAGGTCAAGCCCGCCAGCGAGGCCGTCAAGTTCCGCGCGAATCTGGCTACGTTCTCCTCTGTCAAGGCCGTTGGCGGGCAGTGAAGCCAGATGTTATACGTCGTCGATCAAGGATTGAAGCCGGCAGGGTTGTAAATGAGGGAGCCGTAAGAAAGAAAATGTATGTACAACAATGGCGTAACATGAAATCAATCCCTGGTTGCGGCTTGGAGATTGAGTGCAGATAGGTCGAGACGATGCATGGACGAAAGAGATGGCTGACTATGGCTGAGGGCGATGAGCTCCATATATAGCAACGCCAAACACCATTGATCGAATTGACTTGAACCATCACAACATTCAAAACATTCTTCTTGAGCTGGATCCCTTATCTAACCCGCTGGAATCCAAAGAGCACAAGCTTACCAGGATAGCACGGTGGAGGCGTACATGGAACTTATGAGGATGTGAGGCGCAATCTGTAAGGCCAGGCGCAATCTATAAGGCCGTCGAACGCCCAGTTTTCGGTTCGCGGCGGTTCACAAGTCATTGCGTTTTACACAAGGTTTCCGACAGAAACATCTCAATCGAGGAGGTGTCTCTGTTTTCTCACTACATGAAGGATCCTAGGGCGCTGACAAGAAAATATTCCTTGAATATAATAATAGGCTACAAACGCATGCCCCAAAGCTCTGTGAGTACAATACAGTTATACATAATTTCCGAAATCCATTTCTCATGTACTGTCCAAGCCCTGTTTATCCTCCGGCAGGTTGATCACTCGCGTCTTCTCTTCACGCGCCGCTTTCCTGGTCGACCTCTGCTGTGTTGGAGACGCGGACGGGCTGGCGAACGCAGATCTGAGGCCGATCCCTCGATGCTCGGCCTCCGGAGATGGGTCGTGGGGTACCAGCAGCGTCCCGTTACGTGTGAGCTGTGCCAGCCCAGTTGCCAGTTCTGAATCGCGTACCCATTGGGCAGCGCGCCGTTCTCGCTGAGTCGGCAACTTTGAATTCTTCCTTGGTGTTTCAAAGACCTCTGCCGGATACCGATCAGACTGGGATTGGACGGGGGTTTCCAAAGAGCGGCCTCGGTTAACGACGAACTGAGGGACACCAAAATTCCGCGCTGCGGTGGCCACTGCGCTAGATTGCCCCTCATCGTTCAAGTCGTCCTCTGTCTCTGCCTCTGTTGAGGGTCGATTCGCTGCGTCGTCTGGGACTGTTCCAGCATCGGATACGAAGGATGAAGCGGGAGTCAGATCCGACAAAGAACACGCAAACAATGGAGCCCAAATGTTCGTGGCGTTTGAAGCAGGGTTCAGAGGTGGCGGAACAATGGCAGCGGGCTGTACAACTGCCTGGGCTGCCGCCGCCAATGCTGCCTGTCGTCGTGTTTGCATGTTGGGTGGTGGTGTGGCTCAAGGTCAGAATCTACTTATATGCGCTCAATGTAATGAAAGTGTTTGACAGCCTTTGAACTTGAAATGGAAGAGGGCAACGGTGAATGCAGGTACGCCCTGGTACGCCTCTATGGTCTTTTTATAGTCAAAGAGTCATTCGGAGGCTGTGCATTCCGCATTTGGACGCATGGGCGGAGGAGGCGGCGGGATCGGTACCGACGGCGTTGCTGCATGTTTCTGACCATGCAGTGCCCGCCGCCCGCCCGGATGGTGTGATTTGGCACAGCGCTCGATGTTAATTGACTGCATGGCGTGGCAACCCGCCCGTTTCTTTTTGCCGCTTGGGCATGGACCGCTTGGGCATGCCACTTGGGCATGCCGCTTGCCAACCCTTTATGCGGACTCTTCTTACTCTTCGGATCGTTTAAAACGATACTCAGGGAGTCAGGGACGTTTTGGGGGTTTAGCATCACATCACGATCAGTGGCTTTGGTTGTTCTCGAACACTTGCCTATTTGGGCAAGAACGCTTGGAGGATTGGTGGAATACGAAGATGCGCTTGAAATCGAACAATGGGTGGCCGACGAATTCTCGCGTATGGGTGGCCAATGGGATCGCTCTGCGTAAAACGTACAAGTAGGGCCGGAAGCTGCCACTGGTGTCCTTCATCCGCACCCCATCCAAGGCACTAGACGCACACTCTACAAGAAACACCCTCCACATCCTTGCCACCCTCATCCAAATGAACGTATTAGCCGCGGTCTTGTCGCCCTTCAACCTCGGCCAGTTTCTTCCCCACGCCGCCGCACCGTCGTCGGGTAACAGACGCAAGTCCCGACACCCCAAAGGATTCAAGGTCACCCCCTTGCAAAGATACACGCGTGTGTCTCGGTCGGAATCGTCATCCCATTCTTCCTCATCCTACAGCTCCAGGGGAACATCCTGTTCTTCCACCTCGACCGCCGCGTCCGCACCTGCGCCTCCGCCTTTCGGCTTCTTCGAGCCCGAAATGGAGGGAGGTGCACC